GTACATGCGTCCAAATGCTGTTCCAGGGACTGGCCTGTGTCTTGCCCCTTTGGTGTTGCTACGGTGGATAGACGAAAGCCTGCACCACCTAAGAAGCCCTGGAATGATGGTCCATCCACAGTCTGTTTTGCTCTTTTGACTGCATCCGTGTGATCAGCGAGCTGCACTCGAGCCGTTGTGAGTTTTGACTGTGACAAACTGGAGTCCGAGTCAAGGTTCTGTGAACCCATCCAGGGCGAAGGTGGCGTGGTACCAGCCACGAAGGACGGGAGTCGCAAGGCTAGTGCACCAGAGTGCATGTTTCCCTTCAACCAGCCAGCATCGAAATTCAGTCCAGTCAGCATTCAAGCATTCCCACCAGGTTTGAAGAGAAGTGTCTGAGGGCACGTCTTGTTCTGCGAGTCCTTTCTCATTTGCCCTCGTTACGTCGCTTGTCAGGACTTCATGGTTGCCCTGCGGAAGCGCTGCGACGAGGTGGGCGCGCTGCTCATCTTCGATGAGGCGGGATTTCGCGATGGGTCCGAGGGAGTTGGCCCGAAGGATTGTCCAAATCTTGCAAATCTTGCTCCCTCTCTGAAGGCGCCTCTGAAAAATCTGTGTGGCCCTAGCATGCTCGATTTGGTGAGCTCTTTTTGTATGGCGCCCTTTCAGATGTGTGCCTAGAAAACTCTTGTTCAACGAAGACGTTCCTGTCTCCAGGTCCAGTGCGGTTTGGGCCGCAGTGGCAAGCTCTTCGCCTCTGCGCCTCGGCAAAGCTCGCGGCCTTTGGCGTCGCGTGTGTTTCTCCAGCTGTGGCTCTGGAACCAAAGACACCTGCGTCAGTTCTTGAATTTGGAGCCGCACCATCCGCACCCAGATGTCGGCAGGGAAAGCCAAGAGAACTTTACCGAGCTGACATCCCTGGTTCACTGTATCCCTTCGCCGAAACCGGGCGTGGGCGTTGTTTTGCAACTGCAATTTTCGGCGGAGGGAATGGGTCCACAAGAGGTAGGAACGGAAGGCTGACGGCACATGGCAATCAGGCGGAAGGCAACCTTCAGGCAAACATCGCTGCTTGGATTCCCTTCGGCGATCATGCGATAAACTTGGAACGATACAGAGAAGATTATTTCGTGGCCCCAAGGATGACACGCACACATTCTCGAAGCGTAACCAGTTTTTTTGTTTTTTTTTTTTTTTGTTTTTTTTGCGTTGACTTTTCGCTTGGGCGGCGAACTTGGACAAGCTTGGACTCTTAGGAGCTCACCGGTGTGCAGCCAGACATGACCACCTTAGCCAAGCCCCTGGCGGGCGGCCTTCCCATCGGCGCAGTGCTCCTCACTGAGGCGAGGCTCGCAGGGCCCGGGCTCGCGCGCGAGGAAAAAACACCTCCGACTTGGAATGTTCGTCTTCAAAACGGGGTGCCCGTCCTCCTAACATGGCACCTATGGGCAGGCACCTGGAAGATTCATTTCCTTTTGAAGGGAACCTCTCTCAGTTGCCATGTTAGTGGGAGGGAGGGTCCCATTTTGGGCAGGGAAGACAAAAAGGGACCTCCCGTTTGTTGACGTGTTTCTTTGTTTGCGTTTTTTTTTTTTTTTTTTTTTTTTTTTTTTTAACTTTGTGTGTGTGTGTGAGCGAGTGTGAGTAACAGCGTGTGGGTGTTGGGCGTGTCTTCAGGCCGTGGCCGCCTGCATTTCCCCGGGCGACCATGGCAGCACCTTCGCAGGCCCACGGCGTTCCGAATCCAGGGATGCGTGTCAGAGGCGAGTTTTTTTTGACGTCTCAGGGGCAGTGAAAGCCTTCTCTGCTCGATGGAGCAGCGGAAAAAAGTGTTTGAGATTCCTTTCACCCTTTTTTGCCAGGGGTCATACTGTGGATGGATGAAATCCGTTCGCACCACATTGAAACCAATGAGAAGCCATTGCTTGTTGGTATTTAAAGGGAATTCATCATTCCAGGGTTTCTTAGGTGGTGCAGGATTTCGTCCATCCACAGTAGTGGGAGCCGATGCACTGATGAATCACAAGCATCAACAGTAGCGGCACGATCGAGGGGCACGATCGCCACCGGCTCATGGCTGCCTGAATCTACCGTGGTCAGATTGCACGGCTGACAGCCTGCAACAGGTGCCCCGCTCGTGTGCGCGGCAGCGCGCTACGTGCTGGACCGGGTCAGCGGCGAGGACTTCCTGCAGAATGCCCGGAGCCACAGAAGAGAAGCTGAGGGAGAGCTGGGAATGACAACTTGTTTGGATCGACTGTACTTGCACAGGATCGCTTCTACAGTGTATGTTTCAGCGGATGTTTCTTTCCTGCAGTTTCACCTTCGGACATGGCTTTGTAGACGGCTTGGAACTGGAGGTTGTTGCGATTCCTTCGCATTGGCACGAACAGAATTGGTTGCCGGGCGCATTCGGGCGTCGCAAAGGAGTGACCACTTTTGAAGCGCAGCATGGGCAAGGAAGCCGACCGGCAATCAAGACGTTCGGGAAGCTGGACAGATGACACCTTGAGAGATGTTGAGCGACGGGCTGGAATTTCTCCCACGCTCATTTGTTGACATGTTCGATCCTGGTGCCGAGCCGCATCTTTGAAGTCAGTTTGCCACGGCCAACGTCGCAATGGCACGCCCAATTGATCATTTGGTTTGGAGACCACCAGCAATCCTGAGTGCTCTGCCAAACAGTGGCCAGATCTCCAGGCGATCAGTTCGCCTTTGGGACGGCCACAGGTTTAACATATTTGGTATGTCAGCAAAGTCGTCATGGTCCATTTGGATCTCCCCATCTTTCACCCAATTGGATCCACCTCCAAGTGCTTGGATCCACCTCCAAGTGCTATCTCACCTCCACTTGGATCTCCCTCCCCTTCAAACCGGTTGCCGAAATCTTCAAAAATGGATCTCACCTCATCTCCCCAGTTGCCCAGTGGTGCCCTTTTTCCCCCCATTTTTGTTTTCTTCGGGAAGCGCTCTCCTTTAAAGTCAACCAACCAAGAACGGATGCCGATTCTTTTTTTCCCCATGGCCGCTGGGCATCTGAGTCTCACCTCCGGCCATTTGGATCTCCCCCCTTAGCGATCGCCGAGGTCCGGGACACGGGGCTTCAGCTGAAGGAAGGTCTGGAGAAGCTCTGCGCGCACCGGGATCTGGCGGTGCGGGGCACGGGGCTCCTGCTGGGCGTCGTGTGGCTCGGAACGAAGGATCTACCGATCTGCCGATCGGGAGGGCTGGGGGGTTGTTTGGGAGGGGGAGGGGGATGGGGATTTGTTTTTTTTTGGGGTGGGTTGGGCAGGGTTTGTTTGGGGGGGACCGGAAAGGTGGTGCTTCTGCGGAGTGTCCCAAGCATGCTTCCTCCGCGGTCGAAGGGCTGGAAACAGTAGCTTCCATCAGTTCTTCTCGCTCAGCCCGCAGCCACAACTCCGCGGCCCACTGTGAGCCACTTCAAATGCAAAGCCCGCGCAACCCTTAGCTTACACATGAGCATATCAAAGCATTGGATGCTGATTGCCACTAGGTCGGATGAACATGGCCCCCTTATCAAGGTTCCCAATAAACCACGCAAGGAATGCGGATGGGTGTTCACTAGAAGTTTGACATGGGCTCACACGTAAGGTTTTTTTGTTCGAGTCCTGCCCAGTCGCAAGGTTCCCCACTGCTGAGCAGTGCGGCGCAGTGCAGAAGGCAGCGGCTCAGGAGCGATGTGCTCTGTGTCAAAACCAATGGTACCATTTTGGGGTAGGTGCACCACTCATTTTAGTCCATTTTAGTGGGAATTGGGATGTTCACTGGGGGTACGGGATTTTGACCCATGGCCATATGATCATCAGGAGCAGTAAAGTCGTGTAGGCATATGGGGAACACCTGTTTTGCCGGAACTTCTGGTTGGCTTACCAGGATTCGGGGTTCTTCAACGCGGACTCAGAAAATCAAGTGGGCACCCTTCCAGATGGGTCTCATGTTGAGCCCAACAACAACAGGTGAGATGGTTCATTCGGTCTCGCATCGGCCAGGAGCAGCTCCTGGTTCTAACGGCTGGTGCTGGCAACGTGCTTCGCATTGCTCCAGCACTGACAGTGCCTGGACTTAGCGAAGACTCAACCTGACAGATCCTTTGCGATTGTCATGTCATGAATCGCTGTCTTCCCTCCTCACTTCCTGAGTTCATGGACTTTATACTTTTTGGGAAGATCCTTTGGGCCACCCACTGGCGCAGTGAGCCTCATGGTTTCGGTGGTGCGGCTCTTCGAAGGCTTCGTTCAGTCGCTGAGGTGACCTCCGCAGACGTGGATGAGGCGCTCTCCAAGCTGGAGAAGGCGTTGGACTCCGTGTTCGCTGAGGCGTGAGCCGCGCAACTTCCGGAAGCTCGTGCGCCATAAGCGCCACTCCCGGGCTGTGGCCCGTCTGAATGGCCACAGCCGGTGATTTTGGGGCTCCTTGCGGTCGAACTTTAGACAGTCAATTGGCAAAGGCCACTTGACCAGCTCCAAAGCACTGGCTGTGGCACGCCTCAGTGCCTGGACTCTGCGACAAAGGGCCTTGAGGGGCCTTTCTTTGAGTGCTTGGTGCAGATGTGTTGGTTAGTGAGGGTTCTAGGCAGCTGCAAGTGGCAAGCTAGCCTTCACGGAAATCATTGTGTGTTTGATTCGTACTCTTGACACCATGCTGTACAGTGTACAGACCGTTCCGATACTTTTGGGCAAGCGTCAGCGGCACAAAGGAGGGTTGGCTGTGGTTCTTTAGGCCAGAAGAGGTGAACATGTATTTGCCAGTTCATGATTCCCCGAGTTCCCAAGCATATTCTAGCCAGCGACGCATTTGTCCGTGGCTGTGGTGGAAGAGAGAGCTCACGGCACATCGTTTTGGCACAGCAAGGCATGGTAGTGGATAGGTGATTCCGGTTTTCAAATTGCGAATCTATTTACGTCGCTTGATTCTTCTAGAAAAATCCATATGTTCATTTCCACCATTTTTTCTTCGTTTTTTCAACAGTGGGATTTTGGCCCGGTTTCTCCTTGCAGGCCCTCTTCGCAGCCTTGCGGTCAGATGGTGCGCTGGGCTTTGAAGAGCCCGGTTTGCCCAGTGAGCGGGTGAGGGTGGTTTGGATGGCGCAAGCTGTGAATTCTGCTGTCGCCAGATTCCAAGCTGCGGGGCTCGCAGGATGCACTGCGCACTTGGCCGATTCCATTCTCGTGTTTGTTTCTGCCAAAAGTCAGACGACAGGTTGCACAAGAGTCTTTGGAACATGCCTCGCCACGCAGCAGTCAGATCTATAATCCTGCTTGGGACGCCGAGAAGGTAGGATTTACAGTGGTCTCCGCATCTTGAGGTCTGACATGTGCTTGAAGCGACTGCAGGGCTAGACCCAGACGACAACTCGCCTGGGGTGAGGCTGCAGTGCTGGTCGTTGCCGGCGAGTCGAGGAGGCGCAAAAACAAGTGCATTGGCAAGAGAAAAGAGCCAATGAGTATTGGTTTATCGCAAAAAACGAACCCCCCCCCCCAACCTTTTGCCTACCTTTTAAGCCAACTCCGAAGATGGCTAAAGTGGGTACCCTCAGCACAAGCCAGGCGTATGATATATGATTGATGCGTGCACCGCTGCGCACATCATGCCTTCGTAGTGGGTGCTTTGTTCACTCTTCGAAGTCTTAAGTATGAAAAACCAGAAGTTCTCTGAGAATACTTCAGTCAGACAAAAGTTTATGCTTCTTGGCTGCTGTGAAAAGACACTATCGGGTCAGCTGCGGATCGATGTAACAAGTGCCTCTTGCGTGGCAGGCGTGGGACGGTCAATCATCAAACTGTTTTGATGGTTTTCTATCAAAACGGCTTCCCCGGTCCAAAATTGACCGCACACACCGCGGTTCTAGAGAGCGAGGGTTGTAATCGTTTTGGCCTTCAAGAAGCATGTTTGTGTGGCCAGTGTATTGCAACCAGAGAAATCAAATTCCCGGTAGTTTGTTTGGAGATGGTGTGTAAAGTAGGAGCATCCAGAGCACCTGCGCCAATTTCCGCACTGTCACCACGCAAGGGCCTGGCTGTTTTGGTTCAGGCGACCAGACCGCCGCCTTGGCGCTGCGGCGCACGGCTTCCGCAAGCCCATGCGTAGGGTCCACGGCGGAGGTGGCAGCTTTGGGGATGGGCTGGGGCAAATGGGCGGATCCAACAATGTGGGGGCCGCAACGAAGAGTGTGGTTGTGTGCGTGTGCGTGATTTCGAGCTTCCCGTTCAAAAAACCACCGCATAACTAAAGGGTATACGCAAACACGGACGTGCCCAAATGGTGGCCAATTGAGGGTGGGACCGGGGGTTGAGCAAATGGTCCCCAATGAGGTCTATGAGAGTACTGGGTAGGGTGGACAGCCGATTGCTTGTCCCTTGCAAATGGGTAGTATGAACTACACGACCTGAAATAATTCACTTATATAGGCTGCATATATACTATAGTTGGATTTCCTATAGTTCTCACTTATACCCTCCCACCAACTAACATGGAAGTGCAAAAAGGCCCTTTCCAAGAGGAAAGTAGTCTTTCAACAGGGGTTTGTGCACTGCCATGTTAGCTGGTGGGAGGGTAGTTGGATGGACGAAATCCTGCACCACCTAAGAGACCCTGGAATGCCCAACCAACAATGGTTTCCCATGTACTATCATGTTAGGCAGCATCCAACTGGGATCGCCTTCTGGGATCTTGACTTCGTGCCCTGGCAGGGCGCGGCGGCTGCCGTGCTGGACCAACACTTTGCCGTTGAGGTGTGGGGCTTGGGGACGTGGCAGGTGACGTCCATGCGGCATGCCCGAAGAAAGGAGTGCTGAATTAGACTCAGTGGAGGGTTGAGTTCTTTTTTCATAAGCTATTTGCTGGGACGCACAAGCCATCTGAACCTGACCTCAACCTTCAGCACTCAATCTTGAAATCACTTGAAATCACTTGAAACCACTTGAAACCACTTGAAACCACTTGAAACCACTTGAAACCACTTGAAACCACTTGAAATCACCTTCAACCGTCTCACGCCTCGGCTTTCTTTTGAATGTCAGCACACCGCGAGGTCCCGCTGCCGCCGCTTCGGCCCTGAGGCGCCCTTGCTCACGGAGCAGCGCCGCGCGGAGCTCCGGCGCGCCTGGGGCGGCGAGGCGAGGTTTGGGGGCTTCGTTCGCCACGCGGTTTTCCGTGGGCGCACCTCCTGGAGTGGGCGCAGCTTTTTTGGGGCCTTTGAAAAACCAATTTCGGAAACAAGACAGAGCCAATTTTGGCCTTGTAAAAGGGAAATCAAGAAGGAAGCAAGACACGAAACCCCATTTTGGAAACCCATTTTGGGGGAAACCCATTTTGGGAAGCCCATTTTTTAAAGAAGAGAAGCCCATTTTTTGGGGTCCCCTAAAAGAAGAAGCTCGACACACCATGCTCGACACGATCACTTCGCCTGCATTTGTTTCTGGGTTCTCTGGGTGCCTGCTTTCAACCACTTGTTGATTCTTGTTTCAGCCATTCACAGACTCAGCTAACTGAAAAACCTGACAAATGAATAGAATCAGCAAAATGGGTATGGTTCATTTTTTTTCATCACCAGGATATGGACCGCAGGCTTTAGTCCAGCTTTCCATTTACCGGGGTTCCATTTGGGGGTTACCCTATGTTTGACCCACAGCCAAATCACGAAGGCAGGGCATGTTCCCCGGTTCAAGGGGTCCGAAGCCGCGTGAGGATCGGCGGCCCGCGGAGGAAGTGCACCAGTTGCTCTTCAGTGCGGCGGAGCAGGACGGGCTGCTGGGAAAAGGTCTCCGGTTTGTGGAGAAAGCTAGAAGGGCAACAAGTCTTGACCATAGGTGTCCTTTTTAGGTGAGTTTGATTAAAAATAGATGGGTTGCACTGGTTTAGGTGAGGGTTCTTCCATTTGCCAGGGCCATCTATTCCGCCCACCTATGGTTTTGACGTGTTGACGGCCTTAGGGGATGGATGCCTGTTCATTTTTGAGGGGCAAGCAATTGCATCTAGAGAAACAAGTCGGACTTTCGGGCATCAAGTCTCATGCCAATATGCATTCCATGCAAGGCAGAGTACACGCTCCAACTCTTCCTGGAAGATCTGAATGCTGGCGAAGAGCCAAAGGCAGATTGGGAGCCAGAGTGCGCGCATTGGGCTGTTGATGTTTATTGTTTGTTAAGGCCCCCATCATCTCACAGGGAATTTGAGCAGTGTTTGGGGAAATCTTTTCTGGCAGCCTAGACCAGGGTGAGATATGTGGCCTGATTTCTGCAGGTCACGCTTTCGCTGGCAGAAGCAGAAGACTTCCTACGGCAGAATCAGTGACGCAAAATCTTCGTTTCGGCCGCCGTGGAGATGGAGTTGCCTCAGGCTGTTAGGATGCTTCCTGATGTCCTCGTCAAAGCGAAAAGTCGAGGAGCCATTTGGCCATGGGTCAAAATCCAAATCGTGCCCCCAGTGAACATCCCAATCCCCACTAATAGGTTCTAAAATGGGTGGTGCACCTACCAACCAAAATGGGATCCCAAAACGGTTTTGACAACCACAGCCATTTGCTTCAACGTGAGAAATGGAGCCCCGGCCCTGCACTGAATCTCAGGTCAAGCAAACGTGCAGGTTGTGCTTCTGAGTGCGCGGTTGTCGATGATTTCTGCAGCGTGTCGCAGGGCCGAGAGTTGGCTTGGGGAAGAGACCGGGCTTGCATATGCATCTCCAGAATTCGCTTCGACTCAGGTGCTTGTGTTCTTGAATCATATGGCACAGATTCACGCAAACACAGCAACGCGAGCGCACACACACACACAGACACCAGCATTCCTGGCTGCAGATGTCATTTGCAACGATGGACAGATTCCGGCAGATTCTGTGACCCGCGGCCAAAGTTTTAGCCACTGGGCGGAATGACCGCGTCTCCCGTCAGGCGGTGAGATGTAAGTGTGGGGAGTTCGGAGCTGCCATTGGCTTCTACGAATCTGTGAACATGGATGCAGGTGAAGACACATGTTAGGTCCTTCGGTGTCAGCTTGTTGCGGAGTCGAACATTTGAATTGGGGACAAGGAGGTGAATGAGGCAGGCATGCTTTTGCAAGCTGTGTGCCCTACGCATTCCTCTTGAAAAGCTAGATTTGGCTGGCTTGGCCACATGAGCGCTCACATGAGTGCTGCTGGGGGGATAGCACTGCAGAACAGCATGCTGCAGAACAACTCTGAGGCAGACAAATTCCCCAATGCCTCTTCAAAGAAAGGCCAGAGGTGTCAGTGGTCCAAAGACTGGCATGGTTGTGACGGACCGCAATACTTGTCAAAAAAGGGGACGATGGCTATCCTGTTTGAAGGTGCAGCCGTCGTCCTGCAGCTGGATTGCTTGGGATGTTTGAGCATGTTTCAGCCATATTTGTTCAGGCTTCAAACAGCAGAGCTTGAAGCGCTGGAACACGGGTTCTTTCTATTCCCCATTCTCTCTGCAGCTGAAGCGGCACAGGCGGCGATTGCGCTCAAAGACGGCGCCGGCATGTGTCAGGATTGTGCAGAGGAAGTCAGTCGGGAATGAGAGCTTCAAACAAACACTCCACATCACATGCACGTGTCTTGTCTCTTCGTTCTTTATTGCATATTCATTGCAGTGTTTGCCACTTCTTGTTTGTTTTATGTATTTATTTGTTTAATTTTCTATATATTTGGTTGTTTTGATGTATTTACTTATCGATGTATCAATTTATGCTTAACTTATCTCACCAAGTTATGTCAGATCTTCACAGGGAGTGCAAGATGAGTGACAGTCGCTTGACAGGAAGTCAGAGTTCAAAATCAAGGAGCCGCAGGGTCTGGCGTTGGGACAGGGAGGAAGCTCTCTACGGGAAAAGGAGATGTAGAGTCAGCGTATACCTTTGACATGCATTTGTCAGCGAGGATATTGAGATCCGGGTCATGCTTTGGCTTAAAGGCTCTAGTCATTACCATACGTAGTTGGTGGCCGGACTGCTGACACAGCTGAAGCAAGTGTTCCGCACGGGGTTTTCTCTCCCCTTGGATGCTCTTGGATCTTTTGCGTTCTACTGCGAACCTAGCTGGTGGGTTCACTCGCGGGGGCTTTCGAGGCTCGGGGCTAGGTGTCAGGATGTTTGTACGACTCGCTCGAGGAAAAATGTGGCCTTCGATTCGGCAGGAGCGGACGGGCGACTATATCGTGGTACAGTTCGACGCTCAAGCTCTTGGGGAGAGGAGTTGCGTAGCATGGGATCAAAGTATGCATGCCTTGCCTTAGTGACGTAGCCCTGACCTTGGTAAAGTTGGGTTGGCTTACTTCTTGAAACTTGGGTCGCACCTACGAGAACTACTGTGGATAGACGTAACTCTGCACCACCTAAGAAACCCTAGAATAATGATTCCCCTGCAAACACCAACAAGCAATGGCTTCAACCATGGTTTCATTTCGTGGTGCGAAATGGACTTCGATTTCAACCATCCACAGTATGACCACCCTGGCAAAAGAGGGTGTTCAAGAATCTCAAACAGCTCAAACACTTTTTTCCACTCCATCGAGCAGTGTGAAAGACGCGTGTTTTTTCTAGCCAGTTTGTTTTAGGAGGCCTTTGACATGAATGGCACTCGATGGCTAGGGCGCTGGATGCCAAAGAGCTGCAGCTTCTTCTGGCGCATCTCAAGCGGCGCGGGGCTCGCGCGGGGCTTTGGGACGGCCACGGGCGCAGGGATACGGATGCCACAAAAAAGCACCTTGGCTTGGCGGTGCCCAGCCGTCCGGTTCCTTCAGTTTTCAGATTTTTGGGGTTGAGTTTCCATCCATGTATCCCACAAGTGAAACTTTTAGCAGGGGATCTGAGGACAGCTCAGTTGCGTGAGCACTGGGATTGTGAGATTGTGCCGCAGGAAGCGCCCACGGCCGGCCAAGATGAAGAACGAGGGTGCAGGAGACTCCGATGACGAGCGCAAGGCACCGGTAATGGTTCTGGGGCACTTGGCTCGTGCCGTGTGCATGGCTTCGCGATTCACTGCACCAGCAGAACGGGCAATGGGCTTTGAACCACAAGACATCGTTTATCATTCCATGGCATTCCATGGCCTGTATTTGTAAGCAGCCTTTCGGTGCCGTGCAGGCTCGCTACGCGGATCGTGACTCCTGCATTTCTTGGTTCAACATCGAGGCAAGGTTTTGAGTTTTGAGCCCAGTTTGCCACGCAGCAGTTTGTCCAGGCAGAGTGCCCCTTTGTGCACCAGCGGCTGAAGAAATTGGCGCCATGGCTGCGTTGTTTGCGCGTGTGCAGGTTGCAAGAATGGAGTTGCGCTTTTCTGAGATTCAGCCAAGGTTAGAGAGGGCAACAACCACTGGCCCATCATCAAGGCTCCCGGGACGTGTAGAGCGGTACTAGTTCCTCAGAGGAGATGGGTAATGTAAATGCTACCGCAAGCCCACCTCGGCGACACGGACTGAGATGTGTTGCGGGCCTTCCTGGCTCAAATCCTGCGTTTGCAAGTGAGCTCCAAACGGGAAAGCAACGCGAACAAGCGATGCTGGCGATGTGGAGCTTGCAAGTTAGAGTGCGCATGCTGCTGCTGTGAAGCTTGTTTTGAAAACAGCTTTTGTGCACAACTCGGCTGTTTTACACGCATTTTGAATGCATGATGCTGGCGCTGAGGATGAGTGCCCTGGCTGGAGTCGAACCTGCAAACTAGTTCCAAGCGTCCCGCCACTGAGCAAACCGCCTTTTCTGTGCAAAATCGTGACGAACCAAACAACGGGGTGCAAACCCTATAGTACTTGCACTACACTTACCCCAGGCCTGAGGCCCTCGGGATATAGGTGCTTCAATGGCTCAGCGTTTGGAGGTAGATGGACGAGGGGAGTTACTGTGCACCTACGAGGACGCTGATACTGCCGATGTTTTGCTTAAGAAGATTGCGCCGCCAAGCAAACAGGGATGAGCATGGTGTCGTTGATCCAACATAGATATCCTAATACAAATGTGTGCAGTACCATCAGATCATCACAATGTCACATCTTATCATATGAACCACAATCAAAACCCGGGTAGATGAAGGCTAGCAAGGGGCAGTCCCAGCAGAAATAGTTGCGGCCGCCTTCTTAATTCTTTACATGGTTCTGGGTAGACCATCTTAATACCGGGTTTTGAGCAAGTGACTCATATGCTGTCAATTCTGCTGGTCGCCAGTCATGACATGAGCTCCGCAGTGAACACTGCGTCCTGAAGTCGAGGCTGCCTAAAGCCATAAGACCAACTGTGTAGGACACGCAGTACGCCGTCTATGGGCCCGGCCAGCACTTTAACGCCTGGCATCAGGCGTGGCGCTTTGCTCTTCACGGGGAGTATGCCGTGGATTCAAGGGACTGACGATTGGCTAATCACGACATGTGATGGGGGCGGACGATGGGAACAGTTCATGCACGGAGTTCATTGGCTGCTTTCACAGCCCACGCAGACTTTCAGTTGCTGCAAGCAGCCCTAGGATGCATTTGCCAAGGGCAACGACCCGGAGGACTTGGCAACTCCAAACATGCCATTCCCTTCGATTTTTGAAGGCAGCAGAGACGGATGCACGAGATTGTTTGCTTCAATGTGATGTTGTTGCGAATTCTGAGGGTCCAAGAGTTGCAGGACGCTAGGCAGATGACGGCGTGCCTCTCAGCACTTTGGCACAAGCGAGACAAGCACCAACACGTGGATCGTTCGGATCAGCAGCTGAAATGGGTGAAAGACCAGGGCAAGAACTGGTGCAGAATTCAGGTGGTGCTGATGCTGTCTGAGAGAGGCCTGCGGGGATGGGGGGATGGTTGGAGTGGAGCGGCCGGGTGCCGGTTCAGTGGCCAAGAGACCTCCAGAGTGTGTGGGTTCAGCATCAAACTTTGAAGTGACTTCTCAATGAGTTTTGCTTTCAAAGGATGCGCCTTGGGGTTCGAAATGGGAAGATGTGGAACAGCCAGCTGGTTGATGTGCAATGTCAACATGGCCATGGGTCAAAATCCAAATCGTACCCCCAGTGAACATCCGATTCAATCCAACCACTAAAATAGGTTCTAAAATGGGTGGTGAATTCACCTATCCCAAAATGGAATACCATTGGTTTTGTACCATGGTCACATGCTTAGTGCAAGAGGCCCTAGGTTTGGCCAAATCCTTTGGGAGAGTCCCACTTTTGAGGTGCCTACACGGGTGGCGAGTTCCAGGCCAAGGTGAAAATGCCGATCCGCAAGGCAGGAGTCATTGATGTCTCAAAATGGGGGAAGGACTCAACGTGGTGTTTGTTCGGTTTGTCTTTTGGTCTTTTGGTTTGCCTTTGCAACCACTCAAAAAATGGTACCCTACAAAAAAAAGACAGACTCTGGATCAGGTGACTCGAAGCATATCTCTGGATGCTGGAGACGCGCTGCTTTTCCCAGCCAAGAGGACCGGGGAGAGCAGATTATGCTGAAAGTGCGATGCTTGGGGACAATGGGTCATGAGCCTCGTCTGAGTCCTGAGAACCGGTTTGTGCTTGAAGATGTGGTTGTGAGGCTATTCGGGTCTTGCAAGCATGGTGAAAGAAGGGTTGTGAGACCCACAGGCCGACTGTTCCTCCCTTTTGCGGGGTTTCAGCATCATGCGAGGCTCATGCACCGCGTCTCCAAGGTGAAGCCGTGGCCTTGGCAAGTTGGGTTGAAGACAGCGACTGCAACCATAGTTGTCCTTTCTGGCTGTTTTGGCGATTCCTGGTTTAGCTGGTGGTTTAATCATCTACCGGGGAAACCCATCTGTTTCCCCTAAAAGGACGTCTATGACTGCAACTGTTGGTCTTTTCAAACATGTAGGGTGCCCGCTTTTTGGGGATGGTCTTGAAAGTGAGACCCAGCAACCACCTTTGAGGGGGCTCCTGTTTCTGAAAACCGTACCTCCGTGCATGACTTGAGCTGAAGCGCTGATGTAATCGAGGTCTGGGACAAGGAAGACTCTGGTCTTCTGGGCTTTAGATGCTTGGCCGAAGAGAGTTTCGGGGGCCATCCATTGCAATCTTCGGTAGGACTGGAAAGCACTGAGGCGGAAATTATGTGTAGTCCAGTCAATCTGAGCTAGCGGCTGTGAATCATGATATGGAACGGCTGATCCTTGGACGGTCCTTGCACTTTCAGCTCTGGAAGGCGGGCTTCCTTCCGTCCTGAGGGCCTGTTTCACGGACCTGATTGGAGCAATGGAATGGTCGGCGGAAGTTGTGATGCACATGTGCCTTGATTGGAGTCTGACAGCTTAGGACAAGAAGTCAAGCCGCTATCACACAGTGCGCCGGCGGCAGTTTGTGGTGCGGCACATTGATTTGGCTGTGGGTCAAAACCAATGGTACCATGTTGGCTGGTAGGTGAATTCGCCACCCATTTTAGAACCTATTTTAGTGGTTGGATTGGTTGATGTTCACTGGGGGTACGGGCTTTGGATTTTGAAAAGCCCCTGGCCATTCCTGGCATTCGCCATGTTGGCTTCAGTTCTCGCAGGGCGGCAAGCCGGACATCCCGGGTTGAGCGGATGTGAGCTAACGAAAAGCGCGCTTTCATGCAGCTGGGCAGATTGAAGTCATGATCATGAAGTATGTGACAGTTGTTTGAGGCCCCGACACGTTTTTTGTGACTTTCGCTACCCGAATATGAACAGAAAAGTATGTTTGCAGAGGCCTTGGCATTTTGACAGATTCTTGCCGCTGCCTTCAAGAATTCACAAGTTTCACAGAAGATACACAAGGGCCGTGACGGACCGGCCAAACCCTGGGCGAAGTCCGGAAGTCAGGAAGCCGCAGGGAAGCAATTCTCCCGATTCCACAAACAAGACGCTTGACACTCGAAGCGACGCATGCCATAAGCGAAGTGCCCGACTGCATGTTTGCAACACCTGTGCCGTGGCCTCAGAAATTTGGAAAGTGCCGGGAACTGTAGAGTCAGCCGGGCAGTTGCCTGACATTCAGAAGACTCGCCCCTTGAAGATTTGCCCCCCCCAAAACCTCCCAAACTGGAAGGGTGGACCTCTGTCCATTTTTACTTCATCGCTCAGGATGGTGCACAAAGAGGCGACAGAGGAGGCCGCTGCCGGGCCCCCCCCGTCTTCTGTGGAGTTGGCCTGCCAAAGTTGGGCCCATCTCATATACCGGCGACCCCCTGGAACAGCGGAGTGCATGCCCGAGGAATGTCATGGTGGTTGTTGGGAAACATGTTTTACATTTTTGCTTATTTTTTTGTTTAGTGGTTGAACTCCAACCACTTAACTGCCAAAATTCATTTTTGTTGCTCCCCCTCCAACGTCAACCAAGATATTGATCCAAGGATCTCAGGTGGTTTCGACTTGTTTCTACGCTGGACGCTTGGGATCTCAACCCGGCAGGATGTGCCGAAGGTCCAGAGGACGGGTTTTTGGTGTCTCCGAGACCAGGCTCTTGATCAAAGATCCGCTCAGAATATCTCGGACTGAATAAACCGTTGGGTGTGGCTCAAAATTAAACAGCTAGGGTTACGCAGGGTTTGGTCCATGTGTCCACTTGCCAGGGTTCCATTTTGGTCCCGGTTTTTTGAGCCACAGCCAGTTCAGCTTCACAGAGTACGCCAAGATTGAGATTCTGACCGCCAGGATGTACACCCCTGTGAACTACCGCGTGACAGGCCCAGCCACGCAGGCACGTGAGCCATTGAAGTCTGATATACATATGGCTGTGGGTCAAAAAAATGTACCCAAAATGGAATCCTGGTAAATGGAAAAGTGGACCAAAACCTGCGGTACCGTGGTGGTTTCATTTTGACCCATACCCATATATACATAGAGAGAGATATACATATGTATATGTATACATACATATACGCATGGGGAAGCTTTGGGCCTGTGACTCGCAGTTGGAAGGTGGATGTGTCAGACACCCACATGGACCCACGGCCCCAGCCTTCGCGAGGCGGAGAAGGTTGCCGGCCCGGCGCCGGTGACGTGGCCCGTCCGTTTTAAAAAGGACGCCGCCCAGGGGGCCGAATTTTGTGGGTTCCCAGGGTGTTGGGTGGTCCAAATGAAACCAGGATATGGACCGCTGGTGGTCAATGTATCTATTTATCAGGGTGCCCCATGGGGTTACCCGATTTTTGACCCACAGCCGTGTTGCTTGAGGACTCTCTGGGTGCCCTCCCAACAGTCAACACATGGAACCTTGACCTTCGGGAAGTCTTGAGAACCCCGTAGATCGGGGGGTGACCATATATATATATATATACAGATGATCATGATGATAATAACAACCAAGAACCTATGTGTATATACATATATATATATATATTTGTATGCATTTACATATTTCAAGCTTTGCTCATCCCCCTCCCTCCGGCGGTCGCATTGCTCCGAGGCGCCCGGATCTGAACCGGGAGATGGACCGGCGCCGCCGCGGGTCCCGGGAGGAGGCCGGATGGAAAATGGCCATGGGTCAAATTTACGGAACCAGGATGACCGCAGGTTTTAGTGGGTTCCATTTACCAGGGTGACCCATGTTGGGTCCCACAGCCATATTGAAGCCAACATGGAGCTGGTGAATGGACACATGCACTAAAAATGCGGTCCATGTCCTGGTGGCTTAATTTTGACCCACAGCCATATGGCCATGGGTCAAAAGCCAAATCGGTTTGCCCCCAGTGAACATCCGAATCCAACCACTAAAATAGGTTCTAAAATGGGTGGTGACTTCACCTACCAACCAAATGGGTACCATTGGCTTTGACCCACAGGAGGAATGGGAGAAGAGAGAGTGAGGAGAGGAGTTGAGCGAGTGAGGCATGGGAATGCTGAGTGCAGCATGTTGCATGCGGAGAGTGAGGCTCCAAGACTGTGCGCTCGCAGCTATTTCCTCAGACATTGAATTTAGAGCTTCCCCCCCCCTTGCGCCCCCCCCCCCCCCCAGTTTTGATGGAAATTGAGTCCCGGAGGATCCAGACTCGAATCCCGCCGTGACGGTGCACTTCCGGCTTCCCGATGGCTCCACCAAGGTCGGGATAAGCATCGTCTCAGCTCGCACGCGCTCTCGCGCTCGCGAGATCCGCGCCCCCGAGCCGCAGGAGGTCGTCTTCAAACAGCGTCCCTGGGGCATCGACTTTACGAAATCAGCGCCTTGAGATGAATGGCAGGTGTCCTTTTGGTTTGGATTTACCACAAAAACCCGAATCGATTTTTCCGAAAGGCCATGTGAATGGCACCTTGAAGCCTCCCAAGTTGCCACAGATGGCAGTGGTTGTCAAAACCAATGGTACCATTTTGGTTGGTAGGTGAATTCACCACCCATTTTAGAACCTATTTCAGTAGTTGGATTCGGATGTTCACTGGGGGTACGGGATTTTGACCCGTGGCTATGATTTTCCTCAAACTGTCACTGCGTGCCTCCCTGCAGTGACATGAGCCAAGATTGTTGTTTCAAAAACCTTCGCAGTTCGCTTTCCACACATGATTTGCATCATACTCAAAGAGCCAAAATTGTGGAAGCAAACCTTGCAAGCACGCACCCACGCACCCGCACCCACCCGCGCACGCACCCACACACTACACACACCTACACACCTACACGCCTACACACCTACACACCTACACACCTACACACCTACACACCTACACACCTACACACCTACACACCTACACACCTACACACCTACACACCTACACACCTACACACCTACACACCTACACACCTACACACCTACACACCTACACACCTACACACCTACACACCTACTACACACTACACACCTACACACACTACACACCTACACACACACTACACACTACACACTACACTACACCTACACTACACACCTACACCTACACACACACCACACCTACACACTACACTACACACTACACACTACACACTACACACTACACACTACACACTACACACTACACACTACACACTACACACTACACACTACACACTACACACTACACACTACACACTACACACTACACACTACACACTACACACTACACACTACACACTACACACTCCACACTCCACACTCCACACTCCACACTCCACACTCCACACTCCACACGCCACACGCCACACTCCACACTCCACACTCCACACTCCACACTCCACACTCCACACTCCACACTCCACTCTCCACACTCCACACTCCACACTCCACACTTCACACTCCACACTCCACACTCACACACACTGTTCACACACCTACACCTACACCCACCGCAAGGTACAACATGGCACGCAGACACACAGAGACACACACACACAGACACACGCAGACACACAGACAAACAGACACACAGACACACAGACACACAGACACACAGGCAGCCAGAGGCTCGCGCATTTGCACAAAAAATGCACCTGCGCACGCATTTGCACACGCGCACGAATGCCAGGCCAAGAAGTACGGTTTTCCTGGCGGTTTGAACACCAAAAAAGGTCCCCTCGGAAAAATACATGCCCCAAGCTGGGAAGTTGCCTGGCGCGGCCTCGAGGTGCCTGTCACCGTGAAGCGAGTCCGCTCCAACTCCCACGCGGGACTGCTTGGAGTCCAGGTAGACTGGGTGGCGCTGAAGGTGGCGCTGGGCTCAGATTAAGCGTGGGCTGTTTGAAGCTGTTGTTGAGCCATGTGCCTTTGTGGCTTTGACCGGGCTCCAAGCAGCTAAAAGGGGTTCGGTGCTTTGCCAGCCGAAACAACCCGAAATAACGCGAAACATCTCCGGGGTGGGAAATGAGCGCTCTGAGCCATGGTCCCTACGACGCCTCCAGCGCCTTACAGCTGCGGTCGCTCAGCCGGGAGGCTTTGGAGGCGCTGTTGGCCGAGCTCGCCACGCGAGGCGCCACGAGCGGCGCCGGCGGCGCTGTGGCGGTGCAGGCCGCCCGCCTGGCGGGCGCCACGCCACGGCTGCTGGAGCTGGCACAGTCGCCCTCGCACGCCGTAGGGGTGCGCGCCCTCACGGCGCTGCTGAAGACGGAGCCAGGAGAGAGCAAAGAGCAGAAAGCGTTTGTTTGGGTTGTTGGCCTTGGGATGAAATCACAGTAAACTTTGCATATCGATAGCGACGCATTCCGAACTTTGCGCCAGAGGACGTCTCTTGGGTCTCCTGCCAGAGCTGGGCCCCGCGCGGCGCCAGGTAGCGCTGCGCGCCTTGTCGCGGCTGAGCGCCAACTCCTTGCAGGGCCTGGCAACGGAGGAGCTGCTGTCACAGACGGCCCGCAGTT